GTAACATTTTCATGTAATAAATATAATTTGACACAGGTTATTACTTTTATCGCTATCCATACGCCAGAGCTGCCTATTATAGAAATGGGTACGGCGCTGGGTATGGTGGCTATGGTGGCTATGGTGGTTATGGTGGCTATGGTGGCTATGGTGGCTATGGTGGTTATGGTGGTTATGGTGGCTATGGTGGTTATGGTGGCTATGGTGGTTATGGTGGCTATGGTGGCTATGGTGGTTATGGTGGTTATGGTGGTTATGGTGGTTATGGTGGCTATGGATACAATAGGTATGGGGCTGGTAGGAGATATTACGGCTACGGGAGCCGAGGAATCAACTATTTTTATCGCGGCGGAAGACTGGGATAAAATAATTGTACTATCAAGAACATTTTATCATGTTATAAAATATTAATTTATTACAGTTAATTGCACTGAAATCTATTTAAATAATTTATTTCTTAGTGGATTAAAATAAATTACCACAAATAATACACATTAAACTGTTAATAGATTCAAAATACTAAATTAAATAAACCAGTACAATAGTTCAACACATGTACATTAAACAACATTGTACTTGAAATTAAAGTACTGTAAATGCTTGAATATATTATCAATGTATATTGAAATAAACTGAATATAGTACTTTCTGTACAGGGTACATAGCCAATTCTGAATTTAACTTGTATTAATTAATTAATTTTTTTTTATTAATTTCATACTAAAATAAACATGCAGTTAAAAATGCATTAACATAACATAACAAAAATAGTTTTTTTCAAACACAATGTCCTATCGTTTATATACAGGGCATAAGTTATTAAAATAAATTATAGTTATAAAAATCTTATTGTTCAAGATTGAAAATGCTTAAAATGAGCCGAATATTTGTTTTATGCATAATTATATTTATATTATTTGTAACATTAAGTGAAGCTCAATTCTTCGGTATGTTTTATATGCTGAAAATAAATTTAAAGACTAATTTAGAATATTTGATCAAGGTTATTACTTTTATCGCTATCCATACGCCAGATATGCTCTTCGTAGATATAGGTATGGTTATGCCCGTAGATACTATAGGGCTGGCAGGAGATATTATGGCTAAGATGTGTGCTATGTCACTTTTGTATAAATTTTATAATATAATAAATTATTTATATATAAATATTTAATTACAGTATATTTTAATTTGATAAGAATTTGTTAACATTTGTTTAATTGACACCAAACAAGTTTAAATTTGCTAAAATTGATATATTATTTTTGATAATTAACAATTAACAACAATAGTACTGTAATCAATATTATAATAAACTTTTAAAACTATTTTATAATTAGCTTCAAATCTTTGTGTCCATATATGGGGTTATTTTCGGCGAACAATTGCTCTAAACATTTAATATATTTTTGATGTAAGGCTTGAATTTGTTGAGTAGATGGCTCCGACACCTGGGACACATCGATTGGTTTACCCACTTATGGTCAACACAAACAACATATTAGGCAAACGTTTCACTTATATAAAGGCAAATACTTGCCGACAGTTGTGATGGGCTTTCTGTGCGCCAAATAACCGATTGTGTGCTCAAAAAGTCCGCGACCTGTCATTCAAATTATAATTTTAAATATGAGATAAATATATTTAAAAATAATAGGCTAACCATAGAACAATGACGGTGTAATGCCAGTAACCCGGGTAACCCATAATTGAATCCTGTGTATTATGGACCCTTTGGGTGCTTCATATTGATTGTAGACATTGTTTTCGCCAAATGACAAAACCGGAACCAATGGTGTACTTAAGGAATGGGATGTGAATGGATTTATATTACATTGAAAACACATACCCGTGCTTGAGTGCCATTTTTATGAATCCAAATCTATGTTTTAAGGTTAATCGTAATGTATTAGGAATGGCGTCCAATGCCTCAATACCACCTCCTACTAGTAATACCAGTGCCTGTCCTTTGCGACAATCGCTATACAAAATTTTAAAAATGCTTATTAATATAAATAATAAATTATTAATGATTAGGTATTTAAACAATTCATACTTTAGGTACCATTCCATAGATGTTTTAGTGGCCGCACCAAAACCTAAGTATTAGATTATATTTTGGCATGTTGAAAAATACTATAATTTTATATAAATTAACATTTTACTAAGAGTAGTTTACTAGTATATAATTAAACCAAATGGTTGTCTAACAAACCCAATGAAAGCCAATATTCTCTCTTAAAAGGCATCCATAATAGGTATTCCGGAAGTATTAATATATGTGGCGTCAAACCGGGGAACAGGTGTGAAAAGCCGGTGCTTTCAGTACCAAAATTTGCAAATATTGAACAGCACATGAGACCATGGGGGTGACAGGCAAATATGTAGTTCATCCGGGAATCCAAATCGTGAGTTTTGATTAATTTGATAGGAAAATAATTTACGAAATATCTCCAAACGTGTAGACGTCTAATCCAATGATTTAATCTGCCACCTATTTCACCATAATTTTATCATTGATAATTTGTTATAAAGATAATTTATACTACCCTGGTTATGGACATTTCGATCGTAGTAAACCCATGAAAAATATAACAAGGGTATTATGAAATATTTAGTAAATAATAGGTATATAAGGATAATGAGAATAATGATACAAATGAATAGGTATTCCGAGCAATAGAAAAGTACTGCCAGTGTTTGCAATAGACGTTTAAATGATGTATGAATTGAAGTAAATATTTTGAACATGCTTAAAATATACGAAAATGTTCAATTATTAAATGTTTATAAGTTTACTGCTTTTGACTAGATTAGTTTATTTTAGAATGTTTTCGTATATTTATGAAACTATGGATTTTATTATAATGTAATTTATTTTAAAATTTTATACTCAAGGTTAGAGGAATAACTATAGCTCAGTTAAACCATACAAAACATTTCCAATGTTATTTACAGTACAAGTGTTAAATTGACAGTTTTGACATCCAGCAAGGTAACAAATTATATAAATTTATTTTAATATAATTTATAATATTACAGAAATTACATTGTTTAATTATTGCCCAATATTAGCTATTTATCCGTAAATTAATAATATACGACACATCAGTAAATAAATAAAATACCAAATATTATATATAAATATTTAGTTTATTGTTATAATATCTTATTAGTTATCATACATGCAATTAAAATATTAGGTTTACAGTTTACTCAAACTAATTACTGTAGTACACAGTCATCAATGTACTTAATATCTGATAATTTAGATAATCGTATGAAGCTTTAAAATATACAATTAAGTATAGGCAAACAATTGATATTTTATTAATTTTATTACATATATTTATAATGTTTATAAACAACTATATTATTCATAAAACTAACCAAAACGTATTATTAAATACTGTTATATAAATTTTATATACAATTAAAAATAACTATTATGAAATATATTTGAAATAGTTATTATAAATAGGTGTTATGTGGAACTTACACTCTTACTCATTTAGTGCCAATTATAAATGTACTGGTACAGTTTTCGATAAGCAAGCAAATTCAACAACTATATAAATAAATTCATAACGATCTAACTGGGAGACTCAAACATTTATTTTACTAATGATACGCTTACTGTTAGTATTATTAATACAAAATGCTTATTAAAAGCAAACATTTCGTTAATCTATTAGTTTTTGCTTCGGTTATTGTATTCACAAATTGTGTTGAGACTTATGTTGACGTGAAAACCACTTCTGGTGTAGTGAGGGGTCAGACAATACAGGTATTGAACACAACTCTTAATGTGTTTATAGGTATACCTTATGCCGAACCCCCGGTCGGAAAGCTTAGGTTTGCTAAACCAGAACCTATTAAAACACCCATAAAAGTGAGTAATTTATTATATATATATATTTGTTATAATATATATATATATTATAATAGTTTAATTGTTATTCATTAATATTATGTTTTTAAAGGATATAATAGATGCGACTAAACCTAAGGATTCATGCACTCAGAATCCAATGCAGTTTTTCCCAAACTTGACATTTAGTGAAAACTGTTTATATGTAAGCATATGGACAACAAATGTTGAAACCAATAACCCATCGAAAGATGTAAAACTAAAACCAGTTATGTTTTACATACACGGAGGAGGTTTGAGTGGGGGCTCAGTATTTAGTCAAGACATAAGTGTGTTGGCCACCAAAGATGTGGTGTTTGCCTCAACCAGCTATAGATTGGGTCAATTAGGCTTTCTATATGGGGATCGGGAGGACGCGCCCGGAAATGTCGGTTTTTACGACCAGTTATTGGCACTGAATTGGGTATAAAATATAGTGATTATAATTTTTTTGCTTTTACTAATGGTTATATAATAATAGGTCAGAGATAACATTCATGTCTTTGGTGGGGATAGGGATCAGATCACTATATTTGGTGGAAGTGCTGGTAGTTGGTCGGTGTCGGCGCACATATTGTCTCCCCTATCGAAAGGCTTATTCAAGAGGGCTATTATGGAAAGTGGTGCTCATCTGTACAATAAGGACAGGGATGTGATCAGCAAAAGTGAATCAATACTTGTGGGCAAACAAATGGCTACGGATTTCAATTGTAGTGAATCTGAGGATTGGTTGCAATGTTTGCGAAGTATTGACGCAAAAGAGTTCAATAAATACTCAAAAGCGATGACATATCCGGTGTTGGGGACAGACTTTCTTCCGATTTCTGCACAAAAAGCGTTTCACGAAAATAAATTCAATTCAGGTTTGACTGAAATATTTTATTTTATAATAAGATTTAACAAATTACTAATAAATAATATTATGTATTAATTTGATTAGATGTTGACATAATAGCCGGTATCGCCACCAACGAAGGCTCATCATTTGGTATATTCTTTGGAGTCATGCCCTTTGGGAACACCACTTTGGATGATATTAAAAAGGCTATCAATACAGTCAATGCTGATTACCATAATCTCGATGTTAATAAACTGGATGAGTTTTATTTGAAAAATATTGATACAACAAATTCATTGGCGTTGAGGGAAGCCTTTTATGAATTACTCGGCGATTTAATAATGAAATGTCCCACATACTATTTTGCCAAACAATTTGCTACAAGTGTTCAAAATAGGAAAAATATTTATTTCTACCAGGTCACATACATGAGCAAACCATATGCTAAGCAATCATACTGCGATATGCCGGGGATGGGTATATGTCACTGCGCTGAGACTGATTTTGTATTTGGACAGCCATTCATAACACCCGATATTTATACTGAAGTGGACAGACAGTTTAGTTTGGATGTCATGAATATGTGGACTAATTTTGCCAAATATGGGTACATTATTTGACTGTGCACACTTATGTTTATAATTATTTACGTAAATTATTTTGTAATATATAGCCAACCGGACATAGAGTGGCCACATTTGTTAAGCAATAACACAATTACTATTAAAAACCTAAACCCAAATCCCAGACCCAATTGGTTTGTCAATCCATATGCGAGTACTTGTGATGACATTTGGAAAGACTATTTCTACATGAATACTGGGTCACCATGCTATATTAATATATACAGTATTACAATATTTATTGAGTTTGTTGTTATATTATTGACCAGATAAATTAGGGAATGTGATATTCTCTATGATAATGTTAAAAATCATCATCCAGTTAGGTCAGTTATATTTTAATAATTTAATATAAAGGAGTATTATCATGCTTATAATCTATAAATAATGATTTAAAGATGTAAGTTACAAATTAAGAATGTACATTTTACATATCAATCAATACATACTTTGTATCCCTGGAATCGGTTAATTCGGAATAGTTTCCAACAATAAAATCCATCCCTTTTCTGACCCAACCTTTCCATCAATGATATTAACTATAAAATAACAAATATCTCATTAATATTATATAGATTAGGATTTTAATGGTATACTTTAATTTTATATTGAAGTGAATAGCGATCCATAGTATAGCGTGTATTTAGAAAAGCATACGATTTAGTAAATTGTTTGTTAAGAAGTGCCGAATAATGAATGATAAATAGCAAGGTTAAAAAATAATATACGCAAGTAATAATCATTAGAAGACGCATTGCAAAATTAACTTTTCCCAGTACAAACCACAATGCACTAATTGTAAGACTGATTAAAGTCCAATAAACTGCCAAAAATTTGCACCAATAAATCTCATTATAATAACTAATTTCTAGAAATACATTATTAAATTTGTTCAATACATTTGTTAAATAATTTGTTGTACTTAATTTACTATTAACATATTGAATCTTTATGGATAAATAGTATACAATGATCGAGTAATAGACTAATTGCCAAATTATAATAATAATACAATAATGAGTTATCAGTGTCCATAATATAATGTGCGGCATTACTATCAATATAGTCTCATAATTTGGTTGTTGGATTGAAAATGTAATCATATATGAAATAAATTCAATATATATAAGATATTTATTTATTTTCTCTGTATAAGTAATCAATTTGCGACTAAATGTTAGCAATTTATAGACGATTTGTTTGTCATGAATGCCAATACTAATGGGTGTTATTAAACCCGAAAGCATCCAAAATACACACAAATCCCGCGGTTTTATACCTTGACTATAGTTATACCAATTTATTAGTTGAGAAATTATTATTATTATAATAAACGTATTTAATATAATCACTTGTTCCTTAATACGCAAACCGATGAAATAAGGTAAATCTCCAACCATTGCGTGAAACTGTAAGTTTCTCTCCGGTATTATGAGTAAGATTAAGCTTTTTATATAAAATGCACAAATATATGTAAATACAAAATATGGATTATATATGAATGACCTGTCGTTTGCGACATTCAATGGCTTATACAGTGACAGACCTATTCTGTAGAAATGAGTACCAGCTCTGGAAAAGGATAGGGATTTTGGTAGACATGTATGTAATTTAATATTTATATTAGGATTTACTTTCATTATATAAAATTAAATAATTATTTTAATTTTAAATACAAATAAGGTTTGATAAATTTTTCTACACAATAAATAATTATTTAGAATTTGGATCACTAAAATATTTTTGATATAATGATAAAACAATATTATATACAAATAAAAAAATTATTATGTTAATTGTTATTTTATTTCTAATATAATTACAGTACGGTATATGTTCTTAATATGATAAATTTATATAATCATTATTTACTGTATATACAAAATAATATTTGCATTCATCAAACTAAATTAATAATAACATTGTAATGAATGCATATATTATAATGAATTTCAATATCATTATCATTTCCATTAATTAACTAATGAATATATTAAACAATTAAATTCAATAATTCCATTAATTTATGAACAAATCAATTGTTTTTATAATGATATATCTGAAACTGCAGTCCTAATTGGAGTATTATTAATAGGCCTAATTATTCTTATAGTTTAATACATTTTACTGTACAGTATGTGAGAACACGTTTTAAAAAATATCGATTATTAGATAGTACATTTCAATTAATTAAGTGATTATATTATTGATAATATAAATTAGAAAATGAGGTATCCCCTATGATAATATAAGAGATAATCGCCCAGTTAGGTCAGTTATATTTTAATAATTTAATATAAAGCAGTGTTATCATGCTTATAATCTATAAATAATGATTTAAAGATGTAAGTTACACATTAAACATGTACATTTTATATATCAATCAATACATACTTTGTATCCCTGGAATCGGTTAATACGGAATAGTTTCCAACAATAAAATCCATCCCTTTTCTGACCCAACCTTTCCATCAATGATATTAACTATAATAACAAATATCTCATTAATATTATATAAATTAGGATTTTAATGGTATACTTTAATTTTATATTGAATTGAATAGCGATCCATAGTATAGCGTGTATTTAGAAAGACATACGCTTTAGTAAATTGTTTGTTAAGAAGTGCCGAATAATGAATGATAAATAGCAAGGTTAAAAAATAATATACTCCGGTAAAAATCAGCATTACACCCATAGCAAAATTAACTTTTGGGAATAGAAACCAGAATGTACTAATTGTAAGACTGATTAAAATCCAATAAACTGCCAAAAATTTGCACCAATAAATCTCATTATAATCACTAATCTCTAGAAAGATATTATTAAATTTGTTCAATACATTTGTTAAATAATTTATTGCACTTAATTGACTATTAACATATTGAATCTTTATGGATAAATAGTAAACAATGATTGAGTAATAGACTAATTGCCAAATTATAATATTAATAGTATAATGACCGGCCAGTGTCCATATCACAGAGTGCGGTAATGCTATCAATATAGTCTTATAATTTGTTTGTTGGATTGAAAATGTAATCATACATGAAATAAATACAATATATATAAAACACTTATTTATTTTCTCGGTGTAAGTAATCAATTTGCGACTAAATGTTAGCAATTTATAGACGATTTGTTTGTCATGAATGCCAATACTAATGGGTGTTATTAAACCCGATAGCATCGAAAATACACACAAATCCCGCGGTTTTATACCTTGACTATAGTTATACCAATTTATTAGT